ACCTGTCTTTTCAAACACTGTGGGGTTAAATTAAGTTAAGTTAAGTTAAATTAAGTCTGGAACAGATCTGGAAAAAAAAAAAATCTAGAAAAGATCAGAAAAAGCCAAGACAGCGCTTGTCAAAGTTTTTTAAAGTAAGATTTGTGAACTACTTTTCTCTCAGTGTACTCGCCACTGTAACTAATTCACTAACTATTTAACTGTCACCCTATTTCATTTAGATTACTTGACAAGTTTTAGTGATCCCACTGTTTAGGACAAGTACCTAAAGCATTTTAGTTCAAGTACTTAAGACCAAACATCTATGCAAATTACATCATGATCATGACGAGAGATAAGAGGAAAGTGTGTTTGTGGAGGAAGATGAAACAGAGACAGAGCATATTTGGATCTAGTTGTATCTGATATTAATTCACAGCATTTGTTTTACTCTGCTTGGAATTTCAGACGGGTTTACCACATCAGGCCAGCTCAAATCTTGGCATGTTACTCAAAAGTGTGTAATCCAAAATGACTTTCATATGGACTCTATGCGATTGTTTGTTCTGCATAGCAACACCACCCAGCCCACCCAGCGGCAAACTATCTAAACTGTAAACGGTATTTAAAAGTAATGCTTAACTACACCACTGGACCATGCAGATAGATTTGAGTCTCTTCTGTCTTTTATGGTTGAAACTATTCCTGTATTTGATGATGAAATCATCCTTGATTTAGATTCTGGTAACCCCTTAGGCTTCTTTCCGTCCAAATGCTGCATCCTAACAAATGTACCTTGACATGGGATGTCTTTCCACAGCGTCGTAAGGGAGGGCTCTATTTCCATGGCTGATCCACTCCATTTGAACACCAGCCCGGAGGAAATGGGTGAACACTCCTTTTCCATGGTGTAGATTTCACTGTTGTTCAGTACCCGATCCCATATGTACAGCTCTGTGATACTCCCTGAGAATGACTCATCCTTCTTAAATGAACCCCCAAAAGTGTCCTGCTCTTGTCCAATAATGAAAAGGCCATCAGGTCCAATGCTGTTAGAACTTAGGCCCTCACCCCTAGAAACCACCAGGCCATGAGTAAATAGTGCCCAGCGTCCAAAATTCTGGCTCCAAGAAACGCACACAGAGTGCCAGGAGTCGTCCTGGTCGAAGGCTTCTTGGTAAGGTCCATGAAGGCCATGGACCAGTAGAGCCAGCTGCACAAGTTTTCCCTTGACTAAGTTCACACGGAGCTGGAACTCATTGATATATGACTGGATGGAATAAGAAAACATGGTTGAAATTCCAAAGCTATTTGGATCGAAGCGAACACGGGTGCAAACGGTCACAGAATCCATGGAGGGGAACTTGTGCAGGAGACGGGCGTGCTTCCTGTCCGAGCGCCCGGCAAACTCCAGAATCAGGGTCTCCGAGGAACCTTTGGTTTCACACCACACAGAGAGAAGAGAGAGGCATTACTATGAAGGAAAAATCCTGCCACAGCTCTCGGAATAGACGGAACCTAATCATAAAATTCCACTTTGTGGTTTTATTCCTAATGTAAACACATGGGAAACATTTATTGACTGTGGCAAAGAGTGTTGCACGTCAGTCCTATTTTATATTCTCTTCGCCTTTTGTTAAGCCAGCGAGTAGGCAGAAAGATGTCTTGGACAAGAAATACAATGAGCCTATTATTAGCCTACTATTTAAAAAGAATGAGCGCAAACAAATTCATATAAATTGTCACAAATAGCACAATCAACCTACTTGTCAGATGGGTCATGACTTTCTTGGCAATCCACACAGGCTGAGAGATGTTCAAGGATTTAAAAAAGTTGGTTAGCTCTTGCTTCTCTACTGGGTTGGAGACAGTGGCTAAGGCCCCAGAGCGCTGGTTACACAGTTCCCCTGCATTGTTCCATTGCAGGCGATCAGGAACATACTCATAGTAGGACTCATCATTTGTCAGGTTTCTAGTTTGCAGGGTAAAGGCTGTTCAAAAAAGAGAAAAGAAGATTAGAAGAATTCACCTATGATAGACACGTAACATGCTGGCTGAGGAATCCCTCATTGACTTGCTCAAGGCTTCTCTCACACACACACAAATGAGAAGCTGCGACCTTGGTTCGGCTGCCTTAAAGCTACTGCAACCTTTCAATTTGTGTTGATTTTGGCAGTTCCTGCGGACAAAGGCGGTAGTGTTTCTGAGCACCAGAGTTCCTTTAGAAAACCTGTCAGTTTACTGCAGCAGGGTCTGACAGCCTTTCCCGTGCAGTCCAGGTTTTTGGTTATCCCATGTCTCCAGCAGTGTGGTGTTGGCTCCCAGCATGGACCGGCGGAGCAGTGAGGCAAAGCTGCCGGACACGGAGCTCCAACTGCAGGTTGAAGCCGGATTTGGGTCTGTCTGCGGCCAGAGGCCTTGTAGGAGTCTGAGCTCAAGGAGATTCTAGTGAACCCGCTTGCCGTAATTTGTTTCATAGGATTTTGCAGAGATTCAGACCCGGTGACGGGCACGAAGAATAACTAGCCTATGTATAAATAGTCGTATGTTTATCGAGGTCCTATAGAGGCATCGGTATTAAATTGAGATGGTTTCATAAACAGTCAAAAGTTCCTACTGTAGTAACTTTAAATTAAATGGTGTTCAATTGAAAAGAGAAAGAAACTCACCTGATATATAGCTGTGGAAATAAACCTGAAACATAAGTACACGTTTAGCTCATTACCAGGTATGATGGACAGAACATAAGTGTTAGACACTGTTCTTTACTAATAAGATAAAGCAATACACAACAGGAGTCCTGATTGGATTAGATACGGTATAAGGCCAAGGAACAGAGCCTGTACTCTAACAGAACACCTCATCATATATATATATATATATATATATATATATATATATATATATATATA